CATAATAAAATACAGTCAGTCAAACATATGGGGAAAAAACTATGTTGTAAAAAAAAGTAGTAAAATCTGTGCCGTTAAGTGTTATCACAGTACCACCGTGATGTTATGCAAAACATTTTGTTTTACGTGGATATTGGAAAACATAGGCCTAATAAATTATAATTTGCCATTCAAATACATCGCGAATACGGAAACATTTGATTTTGTGTGGAATGAGAGACCCAACGTTGGTTTCAGTTTCGTTTTAGCCTAAATTAATTAGCTTTGGCTTGTCGTTTATATTGCTATAGCTTCTTATATTTTAAATTCTTGTTCTTTTCTAAATACTGTTAATTGAAAGGATTTATTGTGGAGTGAGGGGAACTAAAATAGCCTAGCTATGTTTACAGTGTTTATTATAATGTTTGTAAACATTTTGCGTCGGCATTAGGCCTATTTCTGAATGAAATAATAAAATGTGACTTTTACGCATCTTGTTTTTTCCCCCTAAAAACAATTTTTTTTTATATGCGTAGCGTACTTTAACCATGCAGAAAACCTTTTTTAAATATTTTGATATAAAAAAAATGACTTTTTAAACTGTTTAACTGATTGTATTAGTTGGTCAAAATTCTTACAGTCGGTTAACTGGTTAAAATGAACATCCCTAATTTGGTGTTGTGTGAAGTGAGAGCAGGGGCTGCAGGTTGCTTCACAGTGGTTCCACCTTGTTCATTGATTGCACATGTTGATGTACATTTTGAATAATGTTGGGCTTAAGCTGTAACATTCATTCCACTATCCTGAGAAAAGTGTTTTGTTCTTTTTGTTACAGTTTTTTATTCCACGTTCACTTTCAGTGTGCATTGATTTAATAAGGCCGTGGTTTCCCCCCTTCACACCACTTTCAGTAATTTTGGAGAAGAGTTCTTGGTGCCAGATAGAATAAATCAATTTCTGTTTCAATGTTTATTTGTTTGTTTTTTATTTTAATTGATTTTTTTTGACTTTTTAAGTCTGCTGCATCTGAAATCACTCACTGTCCGAGTAGCTTTTAGGAAGAACTTTGTGACTGTTAAAGAAGTATTCCTGTGCATGAATAAATTATTATCAAGCATGTGTGGTATGAATGCAATTTGAATGTACAATATCTATAGGTATAGAGCTATAGAGTGAGTTGCGTCATTTCATTGCCATTCACGGCTCTTCTCGCATGGCCTATGGATCGTCAAGTGTCCATTGGATTTGAACTAGTAGCAAAAATAGTAGATCATCCAGGTATGTTTTTTGCTTACTCTTTTATGAATATTGTGAATTCAGACTTAGTGTTTAAAGCAAATTCTTGGCTCAGAGCAAAAAAAAAAAAAAAAAAGAACAAATGGATTCTATAGTAAGTTCAAACTCCATAGGAAATGAATATGGGTCAGTGATACTTTTTATTTATTTATTTGTTTGTTTGCCTATCCTATAACAAAGAAAGGGTAAGAAGCAATTTTTTTTTTATGGAATGGATTGGATGGAATATCAAATGAATAAATATTTATAATATTAAAATATTTCAAAAATCACAGCATGCCATGTCAATTAGTTAAGGGCCAGTTACATTTACTGTTGCTTGGTAAATTTTCACAGGTGAAATCCAGTCATCCCAGTAAGAATCTGCACATTCAGGAGTTTCAAGTGAGGACAAAAAAGTTCTTATTCATGTGGGTCATGTTGACCAACAGAAAGTTGCTTGGTTTGAAAGTGTCTTCCATGTGATCTTTATACATCACTAGGCTTATGACAATAGACAATGCCTATAAAAATTCACAGATTTTTCACTACTCTGACTGTACTTTTAGTATTGCAGGGTTTTAAAATTATATTAGGTGCTTGCAGAATTCCATTGCCTGTTTTAATGTCTTTATAGTTATGGAATATGTGCATGCTGTATTTGGAGTGTGTTGGTGTATTCATTGGATATTTTATAAAATGTGCCTTACAATTAGACATTTGTCTAATTTTTCAGATTTTTCAGTTACTGGACTCCACATCCCACTGGCAAAAAGGGCAGTGGGCACGACTGCAGATTCTATTTCTGGCCAAATTCGAACAGGAGTTTATAAAGGGCATTTTCATTTTATGGCATACAGCAAACACACAACAGAACATGAGGATTCACATGGTTATATAACGAATAAATAGGCCTATACGAGAAACATATTTTTACTTAAACAATAAATTAATAAAATGAAAGAAAAACTGTGCAACAAGTAGATTTTTTCACAGATTAGCACCTTGAATGTAAGTATAGGTATCCAGAGAATTATGCATCTTTGCTGTTATTGATTAATTGATTGTTTTCTGTTGGTACAGTAAGGTACAATTTACTGAACTGTTTGCTAATGTTAGTTTGTCCTTTTGATATATACAGTATTTTTTTTTTTAACATAGTAAATGCTCTGAGAAATGAGGGATCTTTGTTATAAATACTGTATTATTCACCTGAATGT